GGGTTAGGGTTAGGGTTAGGGTTAGGGTTAGGGTTAGGGTTAGGGTTAGGGTTAGGGTTAGGGTTAGGGTTAGGGTTAGGGTTGAGTTAAGTTATGGTTAGAGGTTGGATTGAGTTGAGTTATGGTTAGAGGTTGGATTGAGTTGAGTTATGGTGAGAGGTTGGATTGAGTTGGGTTATGGTTAGAGGTTGAGTTTAGTTATGGTGAGAGGTTGGATTGAGTTGAGATATGGTTAGAGGTTGGATTGAGTTGGGTTATGGTTAGAGGTTGAGTTGAGTTATGGTGAGAGGTTGGATTGAGTTGAGTTATGGTGAGAGGTTGGGTTAAATTGGGTTATGGTTAGAGGTTGAGTTGAGTTATGGTGAAAGATTGGATTGAGTTGAGATATGGTTAGAGGTTGGACTGAGTTGGGTTATGGTTAGAGGTTGGGTTGAGTTGAGTTATGGTTAGAGGTTGGATTGAGTTGGGTTATGGTTAGAGGTTGGATTGAGTTGAGATATGGTTAGAGGTTGGATTGAGTTGGGTTATGGTTAGAGGTTGGGTTGAGTTGAGATATGGTTAGAGGTTGGGTTGAGTTATGGTGAGAGGTTGGGTTAAATTGGGTTATGGTTAGAGGTTGAGTTGAGTTATGGTGAGAGGTTGGATTGAGTTGAGTTATGGTGAGAGGTTGGGTTAAATTGGGTTATGGTTAGAGGTTGAGTTGAGTTATGGTGAGAGGTTGGATTGAGTTGAGATATGGTTAGAGGTTGGATTGAGTTGGGTTATGGTTAGAGGTTGAGTTGAGTTATGGTGAGAGGTTGGATTGAGTTGAGTTATGGTGAGAGGTTGGGTTAAATTGGGTTATGGTTAGAGGTTGAGTTGAGTTATGGTGAAAGATTGGATTGAGTTGAGATATGGTTAGAGGTTGGATTGAGTTGGGTTATGGTTAGAGGTTGAGTTGAGTTATGGTGAGAGGTTGGATTGAGTTGAGTTATGGTGAGAGGTTGGGTTAAATTGGGTTATGGTTAGAGGTTGAGTTGAGTTATGGTGAAAGATTGGATTGAGTTGAGATATGGTTAGAGGTTGGATTGAGTTGGGTTATGGTTAGAGGTTGAGTTGAGTTATGGTGAGAGGTTGGATTGAGTTGAGTTATGGTGAGAGGTTGGGTTAAATTGGGTTATGGTTAGAGGTTGAGTTGAGTTATGGTGAAAGATTGGATTGAGTTGAGATATGGTTAGAGGTTGGACTGAGTTGGGTTATGGTTAGAGGTTGGGTTGAGTTGAGTTATGGTTAGAGGTTGGATTGAGTTGGGTTATGGTTAGAGGTTGGATTGAGTTGAGATATGGTTAGAGGTTGGATTGAGTTGGGTTATGGTTAGAGGTTGGGTTGAGTTGAGATATGGTTAGAGGTTGGGTTGAGTTGAGATATGGTTAGAGGTTGGATTGAGTTGGGTTATGGTTAGAGGTTGGGTTGAGTTGAGTTATGGTGAGAGGTTGGATTGAGTTAGGTTATGGTTAGAGAATGGTTTAGGGTCATTTCTGGACTGGATGATGATCATCTTATGCCTGTTAGAACCGTAATGTTTTTGTAAGTTATAACAGAACTGAAATGGTGTCTCCGGACTCTAAGGCACTCTTACAATACCAGTGATCATTGTCCGTGGTCCTCTCCTGTAATGTATGTAATGGGTATTTATTGGATTGATACATATGCTGCCTTCATGACTGATGCATGTATATATTGTGTCACCGAACAGGGCAAATTTATCCGTATTCACTTTGGCACCACCGGAAAACTGTCTTCTGCAGATATCGAAACGTGTGAGTATTTCTTGGTCTGGCAGGCACATTATGTACAATTTCAGTACGTGATCTGGGGCATGAAACCAATAACATGGAAAACATCTGAACCTCTCCCTTGCCGCAGATCTGCTGGAGAAGTCCAGGGTCACCTTTCAGCTCCTGGCGGAGAGAAGTTATCACATCTTTTACCAGATCTTGTCCAACAAGAAGCCGGAACTGATCGGTGGGTCATAAATAGGAAAATGTGTGAGTTCTGTAGAAGTGTGCCTTTAATTGTTACATCTTACCATGAAACACGCATTCATCGTTGTTCACAGACCAACTTCTGATCACAACCAATCCCTACGACTTTCCATTTGTGAGCTAGGAGAAGGTTGGGGGGGGGGGGGCACTGGATAAGGTAGGGGAGAGGAACTGTTCACAGGCAAAACTGGTGACCATACTGCTCCGAGAAGGAAGTTGTGTTTTCACGTTTGTTGGAACATTTAGGATTTTGATACAATTGATAATTACTGGAATCAAATATTTGCCATCGTGTGCGATTTCAGACATGCTGCTGGTCACGACGAACCCGTACGACTTCCCATACATCAGCCAGGGTGAGATTTCCGTGGCGAGCATCGATGACACCGAGGAGCTGATGGCTACAGATGTAAGAGAATCAGGAAAGGGGTGAAATGTCTGTGTGGCATCTTCACAGGTGTTCTGATAGAGGGGCCACGTTGCCAGCATTGGGCTTCATGTCTGTTCTGGAATTGCAGAGTGCTATTGATATTCTGGGCTTCACTCCCGAGGAGAAGGTTGGAATCTACAAGTTAACCGGTGCCGTCATGCATTACGGCCTGTTGAAATTCAAGCTAAGACCGCGGGAAGAGCAGGCCGAGCCCGATGGGACAGAAGGTCAGTCTGTGTATCTGTCCGTCCATCAGTCCTCTACGTATGATCTTCCATTTGGTCATTGGGCGGCAGTAACATTTTTGGAAATTTTGAAATTGAGGGACATGAACAGCAGGAATGCATCTGCCGGGGATGCCTGGAACACACTCCATGCTGCCTGTCTCATTGTCTAATATAAACATTCCAATACCAGGCGGAAGTCTGAATGTGAATGGCTGTCATTTTTTTCGCTTGTCAACTGGAATTGCTCTTAAAGGGACATCTCTGTATTTCAGTGGCCGATAAAACGGCGTACCTCACAGGTCTGAATTCTGCGGACTTACTAAAAGGGCTCTGCTTCCCTCGGGTGAAGGTGGGGAACGAGTATGTGACGAAGGGGCAGACTCCGGAGCAGGTAGGTTAGAATACACAGAGTCAGCACCACCTTCATCCTTTATACCGGCGATGACCATCACCGAGCCCTTTATTTGTATCCAGGTGCACCAAAATGTGAATGCGCTTGCCAAGTCTATCTATGAGAAGCTCTTCCTGTGGATGGTGACCCGCATTAACCAGCAACTCGATACCAGGCTCCCCAGACAGCATTTCATTGGTGTGCTGGATATTGCCGGATTCGAAATCTTTGAGGTTTGTACCAAAGCAGAGGAACTGTTTTATCTACTTAGAAATGTACGTTGTAGCATACACTTCTATTTCCTGTTATGGTAAATGGGGGGGGGGTATGCAACAGACTTCTGGGGTAATGCCCTGTCTATAGGAGGCGGGGCACTCTAAACCCTGCCTATAGGAGGTGGGACACTCTATGCCATGTCTATAGGAGGCAGGACACTCTACTCCCTGCTTGTAGGAAGTGGGACACTCTACTCCCTGCCTATAGGAGGTGGGACACCCTACTCCCTGCTTATAGGAGGTGGGACACTCAATGCCATGCCTATAGGAGGTGGGATGCTGTACTCCCTGCTTATAGGAGGCAGGACACTCTACTCCCTGCTTATAGGAGGCAGGACACTCTACTCCCTGCCTATAGGAGGTGGGACACTCTACTCCCTGCCTATAGGAGGTGGGACACTCTACTCCCTGCCTATAGGAGGTGGGACACTCTACTCCCTGCCTATAGGAGGTGGGACACTCTACTCCCTGCCTATAGGAGGTGGGACACTCTACTCCCTGCCTATAGGAGGTGGGACACTCTACTCCCTGCCTATAGGAGGTGGGACACTCTACTCCCTGCCTATAGGAGGTGGGACACTCAATGCCATGTCTATAGGAGGTGGGACGCTGTACTCCCTCGCTATAGGAGGTGGGACACTCTACTCCCTGCCTATAGGAGGTGGGACACTCTACTCCCTGCCTATAGGAGGTGGGACACTCAATGCCATGTCTATAGGAGGTGGGACGCTGTACTCCCTCGCTATAGGAGGTGGGACACTCTACTCCCTGGCTATAGGAGGTGGGACACTCAATGCCATGCCTATAGGAGGTGGGACACTCTACTCCCTGGCTATAGGAGGTGGGACACTATATGCCATGCCTATTTCATTCCAGATCTTGGTCCTACTTTTAAAGATATTGCAATCCACACAATATTTATACAGATCACACTATCATTGCTGGCTGTAAGGGAGAATTACCGGCCTATTAAATCCCAGCAGTGTCCGGGCAGGTTGTCTAGTACAGTTGCACATCTGAAGTTTCCTCCTCCAGACATGGGGGGTATTTAGGGGACAATTGGGCAGTCACGGGGTGCTGTCACATGGTGATGTCACAGACTCATTATCATTAAGATTTATCATTTCATTCAGTTGAATAGCTTGGAGCAGCTTTGTATCAACTTCACCAATGAGAAGCTGCAGCAGTTCTTCAACCACCACATGTTTGTGCTGGAACAAGAGGAGTACAAGAAGGAAGGTATCGACTGGGAGTTCATTGACTTCGGCATGGACTTGGCCGCCTGCATTGAGCTTATTGAGAAGGTATGTACAGTATATTCAGCGAGGTGGGTGCCTATTATTAGACAATAATTACATCCAAGAAAAGAAAATGTTAAGCTTGATTTCCTGCTCTAGCCAATGGGCATCTTCTCCATCCTGGAAGAGGAGTGCATGTTCCCCAAGGCGACTGACACTACCTTCAAGAACAAGCTGCACGACCAACATCTGGGCAAGTCCAGCAATTTTCAGAAGCCAAAAGTGGCCAAAGGCAAAGCCGAGGCTCACTTCTCCCTCATCCACTATGCCGGGACAGTAGACTACAACATCAAGGGTTGGCTGGAGAAGAACAAGGACCCGCTGAATGAAACCGTGGTGGGACTCTACCAGAAATCTTCCATGAAAATTCTGGCCAATCTGTATGCCACCTATGCCGCAACTGATGCAAGTAGGTGTCTAATTGGGTACTACTTTCATTTCTACTAGAGCTATGGCTGCTTGTCTGGTCACTCAGTGACTCTGGATGGCGGCTGCTCTCTGCAGCAAATACTTCAGGTCAAATGTCTTGACTTGACATTTATTATTTATCTCAATATACACCTCTGGGGCCCATTGCAAAATATGAACCACAGATACATCACACCTCCTCAATATTAACACCTACAGAGCACACAAATACCACACAAGCCTTTGGATGAACCTTTGGGCTCGGCTTACATTCCAAGGTGGTCCCAAACCCTCAGAGCAGATATCTCCATGAACCTAGCCATGTGCTTGGGTTATCTATAGACTGCTTAGGTAGCCCCAAAAATCAGAGGTTCTGTTTTATAAACATAGACACTCATAGCTTCCATAGCCAGACTCCTGACATGACCCCTTTCACCTACAATGTCTTCCTTTTGGCCAAGTAGGCAATCCATCCGCAGGAACACAGGGAGGGGGGAGAAAAGCTGGGCCAGGTATCAACCTCAAAATCAGTGCTCGATATTCACATAATAGAATGCCTGAGCTTTGGAGATCCCGGGGAACTCTGAATATTAACTGAGGAAGTGAGAAGACATTTGAAGGAGTTTCTGTATGGATCTGGGCTACCATAGAAGGAGAGTCCACAGTCTCACATTAGAACCTGGTGAGTGGGGAAAGTCTCTTCTAGATGCTGACATGGACATGGAAGATGCACTGCACATGGAGTCCTGGGATCCAACAGGCGGTGGGATTGTTTTAGATTCTTTAGTGACTCTCATACATTTGTCTCTTCTTCCAGGTGAGGGAACCAAGAAAGGAGCGAAGAAGAAAGGCTCCTCATTTCAGACCGTGTCTGCGCTTTTCAGGGTAACCTCATCTGATCCTTTGATGAAAATATTACAGTTCAATCTGGGATCAGTGACCTAGTTCTGGTGGTACGGATGTAGTCAGAAGTTAGAGGGAAACCCTTGGTGGTCACCAGAACTAGCATCCTCATTGGAAGATTTCCCATCTATTCCTGTCCCCATATTTGGGATCTTCTTCCACTTTCAATGATAATGGTCGCCAGGACGAATAGAAAGGGTGACTCTCCCTAACGGGGACACACACTGCAATAAAAACCTGACGTGGGGTTCCAAGGGTTGGCTTAATTTGCGCTTTAAAGGAAATAATTATTGGGATTCAATCAACAGTGTGTGTGTGTGTGTGTGTGGGGGGGGGGGGGTTAAAATTATTTGTGCTCA